GGCGCGAGCGCCGCGCGAGGAAGTTAGAGGGGGTCAAGGAAGTCGACATCCCAGACGGGTCATTTTGCGTCTCTGCATCGCTCTGCATGCATAAGAGAGCGGGCCCGGCCGCCGCTCCGAGGCTATTTAGCGACCTGACGCCGAGTTTTAACTCCTAAGAGGCTGCGGGAGTCCCCCAAGTCCCCCACGCCCACCAACCCCCACCCGCCACACCAACTCTTCTCAAAAGACAGCCAAAAGTGGGAGGCTCCGCGCGCAAACAGCAACGTGGTGGTCTTTGAGCGCAGAACTTCTGGCGCGGCCGCCTAGCCGCAGGCCGCCAGGAGGGACATGCGAAGGTGTGGAAGGTGTGGAGACGTCAGGTTGCTTGGCCGGATCCAATCAGAAAGTAGACCCGACAAGCCCGTACGAAAAGTCACAATCTGGCTGGTTGGAAACGCCATAGCGCAATGAGCAAAAATACCACAAACGCGATCAAAACAAAGCCAGTCTCTGGCGGCGGTCCGGTTGCCAGCTGGACTTTGCGGTTTGGACCGTACTGTTTCCGGAGCCAGAGAGTGACTCCCGGAAAGTTACTCACTACTAATTGTGTTCCGTAACCGCAACCAGGCAGCACTCTGTCGCCAACTGACCGCTAGCAAGGAAAAATATATGACGCAAGCTTCTCAGCTGCTCTGTGCTGCAGAGTGCGTATTTTTTCTCAGAAGAGAATATTTTCGACTTACCGTTTTGTTGCCTAGGTTGCGCACTCTGCAGGTGAGGTAGGCCGTCTTCCCCAGCAGGGCCGTCACATTCCTAGAGTGCGCCTTGTCCACCCACGGGGCGTGCGGGTCCACCGTGGTTGGCGGCGTGGGGAGCGCGGCCGTCGCGGCCACGGTGGAGGGCGGCATCGGCGACGTGCTGACCTCCGGCCGGCCGCTCTCGCTGGCCCCCAGCACCACCACCGGCGCCACCGTCTCCAGGTGTTGCTGCTTTGAGTTGGGCTCACGCTGCGCGCACCGCCCTGCAACAAAAAAAAAAAGGCAATCCCGTTGAAGACACGTTGAACTTCCGTTTAAAACTTCTGTTTATGACTACAAAGCTCCCGCACTTCGTCGATGTGAAAATGGACCGCGCCGAGTGCGAGAGCTGCCCGAGAGAAAAATCATCCGTCCGCTAGTGGCGCCTGTGACGGCCAACCCTTCCCTCCCCGTATTGTGACCGGGAGGGAGGATGAGGAAATAAATCAAACGTTTGCCATCCATTCTCCTTTATTTGACAGGCAGGCCCTCTCCCTTTGCGTTCCGACTCTCTGATGGGTCAGCTGCTTATCAGGTGTGCAGTCCAGCAGACCTGTGCTATAAATCAATGATTCATTTTTTAAAAGTTGGATTCCATTATTACCATTTTTGTTTCTGCTCGTCACGATGTGTTTTCGACAACAACGACTGCAAAGCGGAGAAACAAACAGCCAAACGTTCAAATACATCATGCGACTCCGCACAATTCCCTACGAATATAAGAAAGAAGTTTAGCGAATACAGGAAACAGCCTCGCATCGAAGCCGAACGAAGTCAGTCGACTAGTTTGCAGTCCTGCTTTGTACTGTGCCTCAAAGGCACCGCAGAGCGCTATGGCGGGCTAACGCCAGTTTGGGTTCTTGAGGTGGAAAAAAATAAATAAACCAAGCAGTTGAGAACTAACTTTTTTTGGTAGCAGCAGTGAGTCAACTTGCTCTAAGGACTCTCCTGCTAAACGGATCGCTGATGGGACTAAAAACTTTACGTTCTGCTCGAGTGATTCGCGCGAGATTGACAGTAATTACAGCTCCGTGTTCACTCGGCCGCGCGGCCGCAGCATGTCCACGGGGGAGAGAAAGCTCGACCCCAAAAGGAAACGAAACGAAAAAAAAGAGCATGAGATCGGATGAAACAAAGTGGATAAGGCCCTCACCACCGACAGGCCGACACCCTGCTCAGCCGGGGGTATACCGTCCCGCTCGCTTGCCCTGCACAGAGGGTTGCCTACGCCGCCCACTGCAGGCGTTCGACCGAAGCGTCATGCAGACCAGGGCCTTGGAAACGCAATGGTGCGCGATACCGCAACAGGGGAAGCTTATGTGAAAAAAGTACGCATCTCTGGTGGAAAGCAAGAGATTCGGAAAGCTCTAGAAATTTGCCGTTTAATAGGCTATGTACTTGGCCCAAAAGGCAATGTTAGTCGCGGTCAAAATCCAAAAACCAGTGGCGCCTGCTAGAGTGCGGTTATGTAAGGACGAAAATCCATGTTTTCTATCAAATTTTCTTTGCGCACTCGTGATTATCATATTAATAGACCTGCTACACGACAAATTTCATCAGCTTTCCGAATCTCTTCGTGATTTTTTACCGGAGATGTATACTTTTTTCACATAAGCTTCCCCCAAACACTGTTTTCGCTGGTATCGCGTCTCGCCCGTGACTCTGCTACTGCGTTACAAGGCCCTGTGCAGACGCCGCAGAAAAAACTATCAGAAAACAATGGTGTCTTAAGAACACTGATGGGCGGCACCACAGGGAGCGGGCAAAGCCTTGTGTGCGCAACATACGCGCTCATGGCTCTTCGCCGTGCTTTGAATATTCTCTCTTCATGACAAGCAAATTTCTCATTCTGACCCGCTGGCGAAGCCACAAGAAACACAGGTGAACAGGAGCTCGTGTGGCTCGTGGCGCCCGTGTGGTCGCCCTCTCTCTCTCACACACACACACGCAGGCGCGCGCGCTATCAAAGCTGCCGCCGCACTAACAGAGGCCGCTCGAAAATCTATGCATAATAAATACCAGGTCGCCCCCGGCGACATCAAGGGATGGGCAGCATGTTCTCCACACGTCCAACACGCTTGCGTGCTATAATCATATTACTAAATAACAAAAATTTAAAAAGGGTAACGGTAATATTAACAACAACCTCGCAAAATAAAAACTGCTGGATATTTTTTCTCTCTTGGTCCAGACCGAAAGAACACACGAAGCTTTCTGCCTACGGCATAAGGACGGAACAAGAGAGGGCGAGGGACAGATTACACCTGTTACCGTGCCATCTGGGCCACCGGCCGCCGCAGCAGCTCTAGCACGCCCGCGCAGCCCGCGGCACGAACGCCAATCCCGATGCGAAGCCAGTCCATGAATATCAATCGAATTATATGACTTGACCTGGCCGCCTCTCTGCCACAGCAAACAGTTCGAAACACTGGGAGCGTCAGCGTCGTCGCCCTTTGCTCGGCCCTCTCCAATCTTATGAACCCAGAATGGAAAGAGTGAGGAGGAGTTACCAGTGCGTTCTGTGCGTGCAGGTGAGGAAAGGAGGAAACAGGAATCCGCACACTGCTTCCAACTACAGAGTGGGGCGGGTAGGCCAGGGTGGCGGCAGAGGAGATTGAGGCGGAACACGATTCGAAAAGGCATCCGAGGCACGCGGGCCCCGGCGGGGCGCACGGGGCCGCTGTTCGGTTCAGGTGATATCGCCGCACAGCCATGAAATTAATGGAAAGAGCTTTTCGGCAGCCAGCAGCCTTCTCGACTGGCGTGGCCCGGAGGAGGGGAAGGGGTGGCGGTGCTTCGGCCGGGGCACACCAAAGCACGCCGTCAAAAACACTAAACAGGACTTTGGCGCTAAAATTGGTTGGCACCATGTACTTTTCATCTCTCACCTAAAACTTGATCATCGCAGTAGCGAGTCATGTGTATAGAGCGCGGCGGCCGCGCGGAGGCCGCACGGAGCAAGTATAAGAGAAGGCGAGGGAGGAGGAGAGGGGCAAGCAGCGACTACCTCCTTCCCCAACATCGAGGATTGATAGCCTGACGAGCCACCGAAGCTCGGTCGGGAGAAAACTTTGAACGTTAAGACAGGAAAAGGGAAGAGCCGAAAAAGGAGAGTAGCGATAAGAGGAGGAAAGGTGGAGGGAGACTGCAATAAGGCGAGCCAGAGAGAGAGAAAAAGAAGATGAGGCGCATGAAGGGGTGCAACACGTGATCTAGGAGGCGGGGCGTGGCGGGGCAAG